GCCAACAAAAATGGCATTCAAACAAAATTTGTGGAAGACGTGCCAAGCTCATTTGATTATATTCATACCTTGGCAGCCACTACTGACTGAAACCTCATCACAATTGATCAACTCCTTAAAAAAAACAGACCTGGGTAGATATTTGTGCAGATTTAGAACACATTCTGCAAGAGGCATTTTTTGTGCTGTGGGTTGGAGGGAAAGATGGAATGTTGTGTGCGGAAGGTAAAGAAATACCTGATGGAAAATTGATTATTGTTATTTTTACTCCTCTGTCTTTCTCCTTTCTCTTGTTAATACTTTTTGCAATTTATATTTCCCTCAGTTTCAGTTATTGCACTTTTAGAGCTTCCTGCAACTACTTGAATTTGTTAGGTTTTGCTCCCATCCCTATATTTCTTGACTGTATCTGGTAGTTCTTTCAGTCCGTTTCTAAATGTCCTGCGCCCTTGGCTGTGTTATATCCTTAGTCTTATTGCAAATTGTCTGTAATAACTTGTATTTCTGCCAGGATTTGATTGATTTTGCTTTGTTTCAATTATTTCAGAATCTTGTGATGGAACATTCTGAAATAATTCTCACGTGTACTTTAGAGAGTGGCATTTCTCCCAGCAGGGCTGTCCTGTCAATTCCTTTCTTTTTTCAGCCAATATATACATTTTTTTTAAATCCATGTTGAATGCTCACATAATCTTTTGAAAATGTACTTGCTGTTTACAAGCCTTCATCTTCTTCCCATTAAAGGTCTCTGCTGCCGGATATGCAACTCCTCTGCTCACTATTAGAACAAGGCAGAGGATTTTGAAACATTTCCATTTCTGATGATAATCCTAGGACAAGTGCAATCCAGCACGCAACATGTGCAAATGTGTGTAATGTGAAGAAAGAAAATGAACAGAAAAGTAAGCAGATTTAATACAACAAGCAACTGAATAAACTATATTGGGGGGGGGGGGTTTGGGGGCAAGAAGAGGGAGAATGCTGAATACTTGTTTGCACTCAGTCAGACATTTATTGAAGACTGTAGCTTCATGCCACTAATGTTCACTCTGATAAACTATGCAACATTATCCAGAGGTCTGACCCCAGGTAATCAGAGAAGCTTGCTGCCATAATAATAATAATGCTTGCATTTGATACAACGTCTTATCACGTCTTTGAGACGTCTCAAAGTGCTTCATAGAACATACTGTAAAGTGTTATGACTGTGTGTTTTGTAGGCAAAATGTGGCAGACAATTGCGCACAGCAGAGTCCCCCAAATAGTTGTGGATTGAGTGACCAAATAATTATTTTTGTGAAGGGATTATTATTAATCCCAGAAAAGTGATCCGTAATCAGAGGTTTGTGTGTGTGGAGTAAGGAAACTTGCCTAAGGTTTCACCTTGACCCGGTTAGAGTGCTTTAACCGCTACTTTACAGGACTCCACAGATCAGCCCCTGCCCTGACATTGATGAAATCCTCACTTCTTTAAAGCTGCCATTTTGAAGGGGATTTCATAAACTGTTCAATAACATTCAACCATTAAAAATGTGTAGTTAATAATCTGATGTTCAATATTCCTGTTGCTATGCAGCAACAAATACAAAAACAAAGGTTTTACCTATCTGTCTTATACATTGGCCTTCATATACCAGACAAAAGTAAATATTTATCTGTATGGCCCAGCCTCCAGAAATTCCCATTTTCATTTTCTTGCCACAACTTTGCTTTGCAAGCCAGTATCTCATTTCCATGTTAATGTGAGGTTTTCTACACAATATTTGCAAAGAAGGCAATTAATCACTTCCCTGTCAAGGGAATTAAGAGCAAATATAATTTCATGATATTCTGCACAATTCAATTCATAAAACCTCAGTATAGAATGATACGGTGACCCTTTTGTAAAATCACATTGAGGAACAGGCATTTCAAGCACTCAGGTATCTACATTTTCTCAACCTTCCAAGGCATTACATGTTTCAGTATTTACTTTAATACAAATGTGAAAAACATCATCCAGTCAGGCTACCCTAAAGAAACAGTGTTCCCTTTCATTTAACTAAACAGTCTGCACTTGAAACGCTGCGGGAAACAGTCATTGAAAAATAATGCCCATAGACATCCACAGACATAAAGAGAAATGACATGTAAGGTTTTTGAAAATTATTTTACAAGCAATCATGAAAAGCCTGTGACAGTAAATGTTACATTTATCCAGTCATTTCTACTGAAGCAGTTCCCTGACTTAACAATGTACTTTTTATATTCTAATGGCTGGATTCATTATTGAAGCCAACTGTTCAAAAGATTGAACTCTACACTTTCAATCTTGCTGCCTGTTTAATAATAATTCTTACATTTGATAGAATGTCTATAACATCAAAACATCTCAAAGCACTTCACATGTAATTGCGGTCAAGTGTAGTGATTGTGTTTCTAGGCAAAAACAGCAGCCTTATTAAGTTGCTTCTTTCATTCATATACAATGTTTTGGTAAATATCTTTGGTTTTCAGACCTGCTTGGACTATTTTCATCTTCCTCTTGCGTTGTTATAAAGCTCAGGTTTCTTTGCAGTCCACTAAAACAGAATCCGTCTGATCACGTTTCAAGTCAGCATTGACTAAACTATATGCCATGCTTTCCACAAGTGGGGGCATTTAGTTGATGACTTCTCATTGTACACCCATATCCTCAGTTTATCACAAAGGACAAAAGCAGTGAAAGGTGACCAGCAGTGAACAATTGCAGCATTTTTGTATTACAGATGATGAGCAATTTTGGGTTTGCTCTAAACCTCCCTGGCTTTAAACGGCTTTTTTGGGGGTCAGCCAGGTGTCTGACACATTCAGAAACCCACCACCATGCTTAATAGTACCCAAACCAAACTGAGAATTCCATGCATCCCACCTTACACGTGGAAATTCCAGACATAAATTGTTGGCATGGAATGCACACTCTCTACCTAGAGAGATGTATCCTGCTTACCTAATTCCATAAAGTATCAGGCACAGGTTGGCAATAAATTCCAGAATGTGTGTTAGGGCACTGCTGAAGTCTAACCAGCTAAAACCGCAAAGCTTGCCATTGATAGCACTGTCTGACAAGTTTTCCCTCTGCTAGTCCAGCTGGGACCATTCCACCTATTAGAACTTTGGCTTGGAGGGTTAACAGGAGCTGAGGAGGATGGAGGATTTCCAGCCCCCCAGGGCATAATCGCCCTTCCAGGTCCTGCCATTAAACACACAGCATCACTATTGGAATCTGAATCGAAATATATATTTTAAACAACGCTAAAAAGTATAGATTCACAATATTCTACATCAAGAAAATCTTTTAGTAACAGCTAAAGATTTTCAGAAAAATCTTTAGAGATTCACAAAGGCTACCATCCTCCCAAATTTGAATATTAATTTGATAAATTATTGCATTGATTTCCTGATCTTGATGTATGTGGGCTACCAAAATAACAGGTAGCAAATGGGTATCAAATAAGGTAGAAACTGCATAAAATGTATATTTAGTTAGCTCAGGTGAGCTTATTTTGACTACAGTTTGCAAAGTTCGTATCAATTTATTTCCGAATCAGTTTTTACGTTACCTATCATTCTCTCTGTTGCAGTTTGTTTAAATCAAATCGAGAATGATTGTGAATAAATTTAATTTGAATGACCTTCTTGGTTGCAAATGTTTGAATTTCTATTTTGATGCATTCAACTCCGCGTGACTAAAACTACAGTAAAAATTGCATTATGTGACCACCTCTTTTGAAGAAGGCTTCCTTTTTGTTCTACTGCACGGATTTTAATGGAAATATGCCTGAGTGAAAGATTTCATAAATGATTCAAAGACTTGAACATGTTTACTTAAATCACAAATAAAAACAGAAGTTGCTGGGAACATGCAGCATGTCAGGAAGCATCTATGGAGAGGAAAATGAGTTAAAACTTCAAATCTATGTCTTTTCGTTGAAACATTAACTCATTTTTCTCTCTCCATAGATGCTGCCTGACCTGCTGCGAGTTCCCAGCGACTTCTGTTTTTATTTCAGATTTCCAGCATCTGCAGTATTTTGCTTTTTATTTATATTACATATCAACCACTACTTTGGGTAAAAGAAACATAAGCATAAACCATATAATATTATAGTTAAATTGAAAGGGAAATGATTATTTAACAGTTACCTTTGATAAATGACATTTGTTGTAAAAATGTATCATCTGAAAATTAATTGTTGAATCAAAATAATAGTTCCAACTTGCTTGTGCCACCAAAAGTACAGTGTCTCCTTCAACTAAAATACTGTATATTTACATTGAAAATAGATTATTATCTGTATTTTCACATCTAAACAACATTCTAGGATGAGTTAATGCTAGGGTATCTTTTACCTAAGGAGTCTAACTTGCTTTATGAGAATAAGAAATCCCATTTTGACCCAAAAGAACACTGTTCCAGAAGTAGGTTGTGTCCTCCTCCACTGCCCCACCTCTCACTTCAACTTTCATGGTTCTGCCCTTGACTGGTTCAGATCCTACCTTTAAACGCCATTCTTATTGAGAAATCCTGCTAATAATAAATAATAATAATAATAATCCTTGCATTTGATATAGCAATTTTCACGTCTTCGCGATGTCTCAAAGCGCTTCACAGAATATACTATAAAGTGAATTTACTGTAGATTTGTGGGCGAGTCATATGGCAAGTGTATCATATAGCATATGGCATATGCATCATATGGCAAGTGTGCACAGCAGTGTCCCACAAACAATCGTGAATTGAGTGACCAAATTATTATTTTTTTAAGGATTATCATTCTCGGAAAAGCGATCCAATTAATTTATAGAATTAATTAGGCTCAATTATGCATTAAATCAACAAGAAGTCTGGTAAGCCTCTGTTAAGTGCCAAGGAAATGTTACGAAGAATCAAATTTGAAAATGTAGTTTACATACAATATACAGTACAAAGTATCCAGTGGCTTTTTTGCACCAATTTAGATCAATCATCCAATACTTACCCTCAAGTCTCACAACCAGTGGCACCTTCAATTGAAGCTCACGGCATGCCTTTGTTATTCCATTTGCTACGATTGCACAGTTTACTATTCCTCCAAAAATGTTGACAAGTATCGCTTCAACCTGGTAACAAAACATCAAAGGCAATTCTTAAAAAAAAACTTGCTGGTTATCAAGTATACATAATAGTTTAAAATGAACACAAAGAGACAAGCAAAGACTATTCAGAAGCCAAACCAGTTAACCAGTGGGGGGGTGGGGGGGGCAAAGGCATATACATGGAGATGAAACCTCGCAAAGTCACTTCTGACATTAAAATAATGCTATCTAATAATTTCAACCTCTTTCCGCATCATATGGGAAGCCTCTCTCGAAGATCTATTATTTTGAAACCAATAATAATTGTGCTCAATTGTGCTCAAATAATCCCAGGAAGAAATCGAGGTACCACCTTGTAAACCAAAACAGTTGAATCAGGTTAATCTTGATGACGATGCTGTCCATGGGAACTTCCCATGATGAGCTCAGCAAGTGATAGCAGGTATCAAATCGAGAGCTTTCATTTTTCATACATTTTTGAAATCCAGCACTAATTACGGACCACAAAGTACATTATCATTTATTTATAAAGCAGATGATATTTGTGTTTTAATTTTAGTGAAGCATTACCAACAATGACTATAATTTAACTGTTTCTTCAAACATGCTAATATTTTGTAATATTAGGACGGTATTATTCACAATACAATATAAATTTATAATTATATATACCACCTTTCACGTCAGAAGGAGTCCCAAGGCACTCATGCCTTGGCATCCGAGGAACGGAAGCTGGGGAGGAGGTGGTAGGGGGGAGATGACCTAAGGCATCTTTTCCCTTCCCTGAAAGAGGTGAGGGATTTCAAGATGGGAGTTCCAGAGAGTGGGGGCGAATAGGCTGAAAGCTACACTTAGTTACACTTGTTCCAGTTGGAGTCATGCACTTTTAGTAATAATTAATTACAATGCTAGTTTATGGCAGACATTTGTAAATAAATCATAACTCAGCTCATTCTTTCGCAGATTGCAATCTCTCATGCTGCGGCAGTATATTATTTGCAAGGATGAGCTCATAACCTGTTAATCAGCAGCTGCTTAATGTTGGCAAGAAAAGCATGCGTATAAGCAGGCATTATAAAGGAATCTAAATGTGCAAATGATTATTATAAAGTCAAACCTGTCTGTTGCAACTTTCTCAACTAGCTTAGGAAAAGCTAAAAGATTTCTGTTTGAAGAAAAATGCAAAGAACAACATGATTTCTGCCTTCATTGTCTCCCAAACTATATGAAAGGTGCTCACTTGTACTTGGGTTTGGTTTATGACCCTGACAATTTGACCATGTGAATCCAATTCTGTCTGTCGCACCCAACATTCATAAATACAAACTTCCCATCAGTGCTCACTGAGTAGTGATCAGGAATGGGATCCCTGGTTGATTATTCCTAGCTCTGGGCAATCATGTTAAATGTAGCTCATCCACTGTTGTACTGGTTTAAATACAGACCAAACCTGGGACCTTTTATATGACTTAGTTTCACACCAGATGGTGGCTTTACAAGCTTGGCCGTCAGTGGAGATAATGAACAATTTTTGAAGCCTCTAATAATAAGTGTGTATTTGGTGAAAGTTTCAAATAGCAAATTGTACAAAATGGACACCATTTTCTTTGGGCATAAGAGAGATTTACCACAGGTGTGGAAATGAATCTTGGATTGTACTTATACATAGCAGTGCCACTGGATGTCCTTGCAGCAGAGTGTATGAAAACGAATAGCTATGTCGTATTTAGGTACTGAATATTTGAAATTATGGAAATGCAGCCCTGCAAAACTGAAATAAAAAAAGTGCCTTTTAGCAGTTAAGCAAGGTTAAATTCTTTGAGAAGTGAAAAGATAAACCCAAAGGACCTAATTATAAAAATAACAGAGATGACAGTGCATGGATGAAGTCTAAATAATGCACATCTTTATTGATAACTGTTCCATATTAACATTTACATAAACCTATTGAACTGCTTGCACTTTCAATTCTATTTTTAACATAAAATTCTGTAGAAATTGTGAGCCACACTTAATTATCAAGACAGGCAGGAAGGCAAACAAAAATGGAAAGTGCAGACCTGTTAAAATTAATGTTTTTTTTAGCAGCAGAAGCACAGTGTCATTTAAATAACAATCTTGAATGAAAGCTTAGAGCCACGCTTCGTGTATAAAGCAAGATAGAGTATAAAGGTTGAGATCAAACTGTGAAGGAAAGAGATTTAGTATTTGCCAATAGCCACACAAATGCAACTAAATAGTAAGAGGATTCAGAGCTGAATGGTCTTGAACATTTCTAAACCAGAAGGAAGATGACAGAAACCGTAGCAACCGATTAAAAAAAATGTGAAATCGAGTAGTTATGTAAGCTCAATTTTTGAACATAATTATGGTGACCAACGCATTTTATAGGCAATATTTGTAGTTGATTCAATCTATTTCAAACCTAGATTCCAATCCTCAGATAACATTACTGTGGGATATAAAAAGTAAATAACTACTGAGGTGAGAGTGGTGAGTACAATTGTTAAAATGTCCAATGCCAAAACACCAGTCTAGGGTTAATTATATTGTGCTGCAACAGATTTAAACACAAAAATAAAAATAAGGTCCAGAGGTTAAGACTAGGATTTAGTTCAGTATTAATTATTTTATTTTGCACTATGAATCAAGTAGATTATTGCTAGTAGATGGCCCATATTTCTCAATAATTTATTTATTTCTCCACGACACACCTTTACACACAATGGGACAGTACTACATTTTGAACCCATCATACACTAAAATCTTGCTTCAGAAATTGCTTCTATGAATACCACAAATATCTTTTTGTGAATAATTTAATTTTCAAGAACATCTTTCCAAAGTCTAGATAAATTATTTTCAAAATAAACAGTATATTACATACAATAAACACCACCAGCTTATTGTGTATAACTCCATGTATAATTCTCAATTTCATAGAAGGCACAGAGATTGTGAAGTCAATATCAACACAACAGGACTAAAACCGACTAAATTTACCCTGTGAAATTATTATATACTATCTAAACTTGATTTCTTTAGATGAAAAGTGTAACTGCTTGTCAACTGGGAAAGGTTGGATGTTCTTAAATTTGACTTTTATCATAGGAAAGTTACAGTTAGAGAGCAGATGTTAGAGGAGAGTGATTCAGTGTTAAACTCTTCTACATCAGAGAATATTGGGTTACAATTCAGTCCTTTCATCTCTAAGGCCTGGATTCAAAATCTAGAGCAGACTATTGAGATGAAAGTCTCGTCTGGCCCTACATAACACAAGGTTTGGTAGTTCCAACACAGCTCCTAGTGGATATGAGCCCATAGCACAAAACTGACCTAAAATTGGTAATCTCACTAAATGCTCATGCTGACATTCAATTAGGTCAATTAGAAATCCTAGATAATTCTTCACATCAACATAAAAGTGTGAAGGCTCCTCTTTTCAAGTTTGAATTTTTATACTCATTCCTCATTCATAAATAAAGTAACTGGAAAATGAGCCTCTGCCCACTCCAAAAAAACAATAACAGTGGATCGTGTGAAGAGTGGTTGAGTACATTCTCTGCAGAGCTGCTGATAAACCCTTCTGTACCACATGCATTGTGATTTTGGACCATATCAGCAAAGTGTCAATCGATAAAGTATTTGGAGACCAAAAGGCACAAACAACAGACCACACACTGGAAAGTCACCTAGTAGAGCCGCTAAAAAGCACAAAAAAATGACCTTGTGTGGAAAGGCAACTGGAGGCTGTGAAGTGACAGAACCGTTTCTTTGTTAGTATAATATCTAGAAACCACATAACCTCAAAACTTTCAGAGTATCTGACAAAGAATGTTTCAAACTGTCTGAAAAAAATCCCCAAATGGATTAATAGTACTGTTAGGAGTTTTATGAATACCTCAATTGATGGAAAAATTGTAAACAAATTCCTTTAAAATGTGCCTTTCAATAAGAGCATTGGCTACTATGATGTGTGCTGTAAATTACATAGGATCTCTGTAATATGTGATGCATCAAATAAGCAAAAATCATTTACTAATAAGTCATAGTGGGAAACCATCAGATAGTCAATCCTAAAGCTATTTTAAGCGCTCTGAGACGTTACCCTGGGAGGAGGGCGCTATATAAGTTGTTGCTGTTGCTGTTAAAAAGCAATTTTGCAGAATCAATTTTAAGAATATATTTTAGAATTTTCTGTCGAAATGTTATGACTAAACTAAATCATCATCAACCTTCCATAGCTCTAAATAGAAGCAGTGCATAGGAAACCACCTCAGTCTTCAACAACTTAACTGTCAATTCAGTAATATATAATTGTAAGGTTAAGTGGTCTGCTGCCAGAATACACTCATGTGCTGAAGCATTCATCAAGCTATTTATATGTATTGTTCAAAAATGAAGAGAGCGTCAGCAACCAAAAGCTCCATTAACTAAAATGTTTTTTGGTAATCTAAAACTGTGTACTAACATTGTATCAAACCATAAGTGCTAGCAAAGGGTGCCATGGAGTATTTTATAGAAATATCTGATCTCATTTTCCATTTACTTGTAGCAAAGAGGGGCTAAAAACAAACCATAAATCTAATTGTTATGGCAATGCATACACTCTGTATATTACAACTAAACACTCACAGTTTCAATTACAGGTAGCACATTCGTAGACTAGCTATTTCCTTAGCTTCTTGTAAGTGGATTTTCCAAACTACTTCCAACATGCAAAAAATATTGTTATCTAATCTTAGAGCAATCACAGAAAGTAATCTTGCAAATTCATTCTACAGCAGCAATCAACATCAGGCACCTATATATTTTAAGTGTGTCTTTATCTCCAATATCATTGGTGACCCTGATGTAATCCTCTGTCCTCAGTCGGATTGGTTTATTTCATGGAACAAGCTGCTTAGCAGATGTCACTAAACCCCATGTGAAATGAATTAAAAACATCAGCAAATAACTCTTCAGAGGCTTAGAATGATTGAAACCTGACAAATCTTTACCCTAAGATACCTAGCCGATTGACG